GACGGGGTGCGCGGAGGGGCCAGCACGGTGCAGAAGGCTCCGTGTGGAGGCGAGGGGAAGCGGAAGAGCTTCCCGAGGGCCGGGCCGGGGAGGGCTGCTGGGGGAAGGAGGGTTCTCCCAGGACTTTACCTTTCCTGGAGCCCTCGCTGCTGCCGGTTGGGGGCCCCCCGGGCTCAGCGGCACCGGCAAATGCCGGGAACAGGGCCATCTCTCAGCTTGCCGCCACTACTATCTGCCCGAAGTGCCCTGCGGAGCGGCGGGGGAAGATGGCGCCGCGGCTCGAGGCATCCTGGGAGATGCAGTTCGTCTGCCCGACCGCCCAAAATGGCGGCGGGGCCTGGGGAATGCTGAAGGAATCGCCGCTGTCGCTAAGGGGACCGGAGGAGGGAACTGCTGGGGGAACAGGCGGGGATGGGGTTTCTAGAGCCAACCCTTCCTTCCCCACCACCCTGTCTTCCCTCACGGGCTTCACTGGGAGGGAACATCTCGAGACTGGAATGCTCAGCTGTGTAAAGGAGAATGTTGTAAGAAGCCATGCTGCCTTTCTGTGAAGATCCACTGTATGTTTGAAGGCCCGTATAGCCAGCCAGCCTGTCTCAAACACCTAAGCAAGTGCTTAGGGAAGAAATAACCTCAGTCAGTCCTATATAAGCCTCTTGACCAGGGAGTCACCCATCATGGTAACAGCATCCATGAGCCTGCCCTCCATAAAGGAAGTGGAAAACCAATTTTTAATGCTTTTACACTTGGCACCTTCTTGGGCAGGATGTTCAGGTTTTAATTGTATTGTCTGAAACAGTATTTCCTTTTTGTCTCAAGCCCAGTGCCTGGTTCTTGCATTGTGAGGAAAAATAAGTATCACCATTCACTCCGCAAAATTTTATACATTGTTAAGATACTTCACTTCAGTATTCTCCTTTGTGGACTGAAAAGTCTGCTTTTTTCTTTGTATATTAAAGCCACTACATAATGTTCTCCTTGTCGAATTTCTTTAGTTTTTCTAACTCCTACACTAATACTACTGCATGACCAGAATTTCCCATAGTGATTAAACTATAGGTGTACAATGGGTTTAGGCATTATACAGAATTATAATGACTGATTTGTTTTCTGCTCCTTTCCCAGTACCTTCGGATCGTTCTCTTGGGCTTTTGGCCTCTCCTGAGCTACAATGTCTCTTAAGATCCCATTCCTAAGTGGCAAAAGATAATAGGTAATGATTGTGTATAGATGTTAGGATTGGCTTCCCTGTACACACTGCTTCACACTTACTGAGCTGGTTTTTTCAGTTGTTTTATAATTTATTTCTGAAATACTTCAGCGACCTTTCTCAATCATGTTTCCAGTTGATTGTCTTAATACTTTTGCACCATCTGCAGATTTTGTCAACTCCATGTTCACTGCTGTTTACAGCCTTTTCGTAGATGTTGAAACAGTCAGATCAGACTTCTTCCCTTAGAAAGCTATAAAACTATTTCTTAATCCTTGTTTCCTACCTTTAATTTATTATTAATCTATAAAATGCTATTCATTTTTATCAACAGGAAAGAAGAATGTAAGTACAGAGAGAAGAGGATTCATGGCCACTTATAGCCTGGAAGTCATCAAATGAGTGGGGCCTGATTGCCAACTTGGAACAAATGTGCTTTATGCTCACATACTGATGTGTAGCAATGTATTTGTTCAAGTCTGTTAACATCGATCAAGTTTTGTAGTAAAACATTAGAATGTGGAAAATGCAGTACATAATATATAGCAATATATATCTACCTAGAACTGGTAGAGAAGATAGGGAAAAAAATCTAAAAGAAGCACATTATCAATTTGTGACCAAATTCTGAAGAGACAATCTAAAAAAAATTGTCTCGTCACATGCACTTTTCAGCCCTTTTCCTGAGAAAAGAAAACCTCTAATTATGCTACCTGAACAAGCATTTGTCTTTCTGTCTGCCTGGCATAATTTCCCCAGTTAGTTTTAGAACTTGTGACCAATTTAATCCAAATTTAACAGGAGGTTTACAGGTTATGACATTACTGCAAATTACATGAAAACAGGTGGCAATACAGAGCAGGGTTTTCAGTGGGAGGAAAACTCCAGTGTGCATGCAGTTCACACTGGGAGGCTAACCTACTGGGAAAGTTGAGTCAGAGCTCTGCCGCTCATGGAAATATTTGTTATAATCTTATTTGGATAGTTATTGAAATTTGTAAATGCGTTTATTCTGCATACTTCAGCACCAGGAAAACTACCATCTATCTACAGAAAATTCGTTATTTCCCTGTTCTCTTAGGAACCAGACTCAAAGCCCTTTTGAGATACTAATGCCTTAGATGCAGGATAAACTAAATGAATTTCCTAACAAAAGCATTCAGTTTATTTGCTGAATGTCCTTAGTCCCATTGTCTCTCAGCTGCTCATAGTGATGGTAGCAAACAACTTCTCAACAGAGAGAATAGAGAAAATGTGCTTTTCAGGAGTAAAGCAAATTACCAAGAATCCTATAAAAATCCTAAGTACAGATTTATGCCCTGTGTCCGTGGAAATTAGCCCAAATATTATGGATAAAGAGAAGGATAAATTAGCTAAGTGTGTTATTACTGTTGCCATACATATATTATTGTGACAGAAAAAAAAAAAATCCTCCACATTTAACACTACCACATAAATGCAGGCAATATTTCCCGTTATTGCAAGTGGAAGTTAAACTTGTGTGAACAATGCTTTTAGATTATTGAATCTATTTGTACAAGTAGTTCCTACTTATCATTAGTAGAAATTGGCTATGTAGTAAAATCTTCTATGTTGACAGTTCCTTGACTTACTGAATGAGCAATGCCCACTCTGATGAAATGTAGTTTTCTCTGATGTATTTAGCCCCACATCTAGCAAGTTTTATTTTGCAGCTTTCTGCAAAATGCATTTTAATAAAGTTATATGAATACTTTACTAAGCCTTTACGGGCAAAAAGTGCTATTATGAACAAATTGTTTGCCTCAACTCAGTTGAGCCAAGCTTTTTCTTAGGATTTAGTGAAGAACCTGACCAAAACACCTCTTGATGTCTAGAGTAGAGTTACCTGAAACACTCAGCATTGTTTCTTCAGTTCTATTGTAGTAACAGCAAACCATTGAGCCTTTTACAATGCAGACAAAACCACAGTGGCTGTACACAACAAGAGTTCCTTGTTAATAAGAAGGAACAAACTAACTAACAACTAGAGGTAGTAACAAGTTCCTTACTTAAGAACACGCTGTTCCACTTTTTACGTTGCATCTACCTATTTAACATATTAAAGTCTGGTATAGTTAATTTTTTTTATTAATAATCCATTTTAAGGATTTTTCTTCTTTGGAAAGCCTTAACAGTGAGTAATATACTGAACTGCCTAAGCAGATGTGAATGTGATAGTTTTCAGTAGATTTGGGACTTGAGTTCTTTTGTATATTTTGACAAAAATCAGAACATTATATTTAGGGACAAAAAAACCCCCTCTCATCAGGTTCATAACATTCTCCTTATTACAATAAAATTGTAGGAAATATCTGTGAATCTGACTTCTGTGAAATGAAGCAGTAATTCAGGCCCCCTCACCAGGGCCTGAAAGGCCACAGCAGGCCAGTTCTGTTCTTGGCCTCACACACTCACATTTTGCTCTGTCACGCTCTCCATACCCTAATTTTACAGCCTGTGATATCATGCCTCTCATATCTTTCATATTTTCTGTTGCTTCTCCACATTTTCTACTTCCTCTGTAGTAAATCCTATAGTTAGTTCTTCCTTCCACTCTGATGATCGAAGAGCTCCTGCTAGGAGTTGGTTCATCTATAAGATACCAAGGCACCATCCTCTTTACAGCAGAGGGTTTGTTCTCATATGCAAAAACTTACAGAACTAGCCTTACAGTACTGCACTATAAACAGTGTCATTTCAAGCACACACAGTGGGTACCTTGAATAAAAGCATTAGAAATAAAGGCAACCATTTTGAGTAAGGGCTACATTGCACCCATTTAAAGAAATGAGCATCCCTAAAATATATTGTAAAATTTTATGATACTGTAAGAGAAGAGGTTGCATTAGGGAGGACACGAAATTAATTCTGACCACAGGGGATGGATTAGCAGGATTCCACCTCTGTGGCCCCACCAGCCTTTTCAAACCTCATTGACATACCAAGTGCTGCCAGCAGCATGTGATGGTAAACCTGTATCAGGACAAGAATGCTTATACAGCTTACTCTAATAAGAAAAAGTGTGATTTTAATATGACACATTTAGCATGTTCCTACAGTGAGAGGAACTGGGCAAATATAAAAGGAGGGTGCTATAGCTTTATCTCCCTGCAGTGAGACCTATAGAGCACAATGGGGTTTCCAATAACACAGGTTCCTGTCCTGATGGCGTGCCAAGTTTCCAGCCTTCCTCTACATTTTCCCAGCCCCTTCTCAGGTTTCGTTCACTAAGAAATCCTTTTGTCTATGCCAACGCTACTCAGATGTTTTGAGATCTACTGAGTAATTTTACCAAGGGCTGATTTTTTATTGAGACCCGCTCGGCAGGCAGAAATGCGAGAGCTCCAGTTTCAGCTCTGCCAGGTGCGGCACACTGCTGCCAGGCTGTAACCTCAGCACCGTCCCGTGGCCGGCCTCGCCAGGAGAGCAACATGGAAGAGATGAGCTCCTGCAGGAGCATTGTGTGCTTGGTCCCCGTAGCTATTTTATTTCTTCTTTCTACCCTGCTGTCAGGGTGCTGCATTGGCTGGGGGCTCCCCAGGGGCCAGGAGCTGTGGGAGCCAGGCCAGGAGCTCCACAGCCAGAAGCAGGGCACCAGGGGCAGCCCCAGCCCTGGAATCAGGCACCACCCTGGGGACGAGGCCAGGCTGAGGCTGGGCTGGGGGTGTCACCAGGGCAGGGGCTGATGGCGCCGGGGGGCTGGCATAGGGTCTTGGGCTGTGGGCAGGGTGGGGGAGGCCCTGGGGAAAGCTGGGCAGGGGCAGTCAGACCTGTCAGTGTCCTCAGGGCCATGACACCTTCACCCCACTCCATTCCCCTTCGAAACTGCTGTTTTACTTCCCACCCCTTCACCCTTCCCACCTCTGCTGTTCACTTGAGGAGGGAGAGGACTGGCCTCCCCTCAGTCTGGATGTGACCCGGCAGGCGCCGCTGCCATGCCACCGCTCTCCTCCCTGCCTGCTTTCTTTCCCGGGTAACCAGATCCATGCCATGAGCATCATGCATGACACGGCTGGGACATTTCACAGAGGAAACGATGTAGAGCTCTCCATC